CATGGTAGAAATACAAGGGTATGCCCACTTGGTGGTAGACCTCTGCGCATCGGAACCAGTTGACGTCACAATCGTGCAGATTCGGCTGCTTTCGGTGCTCGATCGTGCTCGAGGTAATATGGCTGCCTCCTGCTTTGGACACATGTGACACAATTCAGTGCTGCGACTCCTGCACTGTCCTTTCGGAACATTTTTTAATTTTTATTATTTGTAAACAATGGTTGCTTGTGCAGTGAAAGGCTGTGATAATTCTTATTGAAAAACGGTAAGAATCAAAGAACAGAAAGTAAAATACTTTAGATTTCCTAAAGATTCTGAAATTGCTGCAAGGTGGATGGAAGTATGCCGAAGCGAAGTAAATATGACGCATGGTAAGATTAAAATTTTGCATTAACATATAAATATATTAATAGCATAAACAGTTAAGATCAGTGTCAATATTATCATTATGTATAGGAAGGATATGTTCTAAGCACTTTGAGAGATGGTGCTATGAGAAGCCTAGGCAGCAAATGGTTTTGAACTATTCTCCTGCACGTTCACGGAAGTTAAGATTGGACGCAATTCCCACATTATATTTATTCGCGGATACACAAGTAGCAGAAAGGTTGGATGTATCAATACCGTCAATACATACCGAAGACGTACCATCAACACACACCAAAGACGCACCGTCAACACACATGGAAGACGCACCGTCAACACACACCGATGACGCACCATCAACATATACCGACGACGTACTCAAGTTAATTTGTGAAGCAACATCGGAGATTATTCACGCAGAATCGAAGGCAACTCCAAAGACAGTATTGGAGCAAACTGCAGTTAATGTGAAAGTACTAACGACCTCGGAAGACGTATCTGCTACTTTAGTAGACCATCCTGTGATAATGTAAGTTCAAAATGTTTATTATAACAATAAAATATTTAGGAAGGTCTCGTTAGCATATGGTGTGATAACATACATCCACTCACCTTAGCCTATAAAATTTGTACTTTAAAATAGTGTAAGATTTATTTTTACATGATTACTGTTCATTAACATGTAACTCCTTTTATTATTGTTTGCAAATTTCAATGAGCTCAGGAATTTTGTAAATTATGTTTGCTTCACAATATGCTTCCAGAAAAAATTTGCAACAGCAGTTAGCAGATATGCAGAAGACTATTGTTAAACTTGAGACCGAGAAAAAGATGTTGGCGGAACAGACTATTCACCGATCAAAGGAATTTGCGTTCAACACTCTCAAACGAATCTTTACGCCGGGGCAGATCGAAATGCTCCTACATCCGGAAAGAAAGTATGTCAAATGGTCTTCAGAAGATATTGCGAGCGCAATATCTTTACGATGCGTCAGCCCCAAGGCATACCGCTATTTACGGAATGTGATAAAATTACCACTTCCTGGATTTTCAACACTCCGAAGGTGGGCGAGTAATATAAATTTTGATGTCGGTGTGCTAACCTCTGTGTTACAATGCATGAAATTTAAGGGTAGAGGTATAAAAACGAATGAAAAGCTTGTGGCATTAACCTTTGATGAAATGCATTTAAATAATAGAATAGCAATTGAGAAAAAGACACAACAAGTTGTGGGACCGCATAAGTCTTGTCAGTGTATTATGGTTAGAAGTTTATTTTCCAACTGGAAACAGCCGGTTTATTTTGACTACGACCAACCAATGACTCAAAGTATTATCTGTGATATAATTGCACGTCTGTATGCCATAGAATATACGGTTGTTGCAATAATAAGCGATATGGGTTCTGGTAATATGGCTTTATGGCATGAATTGGAGATTGGTGTTCAGCCTAAAAACTCTTTTTTCCAGCACCCTTCTAACGCTGCCTTAAAAGTTTTTGTATTTGCAGATGCACCGCATCTACTAAAACTATTAAGGAATCATTTCCTCGATGATGGATTCAAAATAAACGGACAATTGATACATAAGAAGTGTATTGAGAAACTTTTATCAATTAATGCTGACGATCTTAAAATTACCTTCAACATATCGCAATATCACTTGGACATTAAAGGATCGGAGCATCAAAAGGTTCTCCCCGCTGCACAATTATTCTCCAACAAAACGTCTGCTGCAATTCAATGGACTGGACAGAAAGGTTATCTGGGGGATACAAATTGGCAAGAAACAGCACATGTTTTCAAGTTGATTGGTTCGACATTTTCAATTCGTCGAATATGTTTGGCAAGCATGAAGGTAAAAATGCGTACGGAGTAAATTTGGATAAACAAACGGCAATTTTACACGAGATGACTGATGTAATACAAAAGATACAGATTGGAAAACATCGTTCACTGATTTTATTCCAAAAAGGAATAATTGTAAACAATGTATCTTTAGAACAGCTATTCATTTATTTGAGAAAAACGTATTCTGATGAACAGTTCGAGATAAAATATATCATCACAAGTCGCTTAAATCAAGATTTGCTGGAAAATTTCTTTTCCTTTATAAGAGCTACTGGGGGTGCCTACGATCATCCGACAGCACTTGATCTTAAATACAGATTGAAGAGATACATCCTAGGAAAGCATTCATCCAACCTTTTTAGTAGAAGTTCCAACATTATTACAAGTGAACCAAATACATCTTGTCTTTCATCTCAACTTACCAATGACAGTTCTATAATGACGAGCAGTATGCTGGCACCATTCGTTATACAAGAAGAAGAAACGATTTGTGCCGAAGAATTATTCGCAAATGATGAAAATAATAATGCCAATGACTATCCTCTCTGCGATTTGAGTAATTATCACACGTCCATCGAAGAAGAAGATCTGTTATTATCATTGGAAAACTTAAATGTCGTTGACATCATCGCCGATGAAGGTTTAAAATACATTGCTGGATACGTAGCTTATAGATTTAAACACAAACACAGTATCCACATCTAGGTACTAAAACAAATACCTTACCAATTGTAGATGATTTAGACTGGTTACAGTTTATTTCACGTGGAAATTGCCTATATCCCTCAGAAGAATTACTACAAACGGCGCGCATCATGAACGAGGAATTTAATAACTATTATGGATCAAATACATTGCGTAAAGATCAATTTATATTTAATACATTGGCGCAAAAAGTACATGCATTAATACAGCCCATCCAAATTCCCGAAGAAGTCATCTTATGTTTAGTGAGAACGCGAACCTATATACGAGTACGTCAAATAAACCGGGAGATATCTATTAAAAATCGAAAGAGAAGGAACCAAAAAAAATTATCAAAATTTATTAATAAATAAATTGATTATTTATTACGTGCATATCTCTGTAATTGTTTTTCCCATTATTTGTTTCATCGCCCATTCCTCAAAAATAATTTAGATAAAAACCTTAATAGCTGTTACGTATATATAATTTTCTTGTTTTGTAAAGAAAGCACAAAGAAAGTTTTTAAATTTCATCATTATTATCAATGTATGTACATTGCGTATTTCTTTACAAAAAAGTAATACATACATCATATTTGAAATTATATATAATACTTGTTAGTATAATAAGTTATTTAAA